TTTCCTTTTACCCATCTTCTGTCCCTGCTTTCTATTTCTTCTGTCTCTCTGCGCTGCAGGCCAGTCTGGATCAGTGGGAACAGGTCAGCCTTTGGTGAATGCCATCAGGAGTGACTCAGTTCTAATTGGAGGTACTGTAGCACCATTTTTTTTCACTGTCACATGGCCATCATTATCAATCACGAGATGGTGTGATTTATAAAAGGTCAGTTATGATACAGTTGCTTCTGCTCCTACCAGGTCTTTTTACACCTCATTAAAGAAGAACTAACAAAAACTTTGTTTTAGTAAATATTATATTACAAATGTCAAGGTATAGTCTGTATCTAAGTTTTAGTTGAAACATCTTTCCTTTGTTTTGAAATATTTACTGGTTGTCAGGCAGGAGCCATTCATCCATCATCCATCCATTTATTATGTTCCGCATAACCAGGGTCTGGTCGCGGTAGCAGCAGGGTAAACAGGGTATTCCAGACATCCTCCCCAGAAACATTTTCCATTCCAAGGCATGCTGGGGTCTCCTCCCAATTGGAACATGCCTGGAAACCTCCAAAGAAAGGTGCCCAGGAGGCATCTTTATCAGATACAAAACCACATCAATTATATCCTTTCAATGCAAAGGAGCAGCAATTCTACACCAAGCTATCTCCAGATGTCAGAGCACCTCACTCTTGCCCAGCTAGCCTGTGGAGGAAACTCATTTCTTCTGCTTGTATCCGCGATCTTGTTTTTGAGTCACTACGCACAGATCATAACCACATGAGGGTTGGAACATCGATCGACTAGTAAATTGAAAACTTTGCCTTCCAGCTCAGCTCCCTTTTCACCACAATGGTCTGGTACAATGGCTGCATTACTGCTGCTGATACTGCACCAATCTGCCACCTATAAGATTTTAGTCCTATCGCACAGCCGTAATCCCAACCACTTCACATTCGGCTGCAAACCACCCCAGTGCGTGCTGAAGGTCGCAGTCTGATGAAGCCAACAGAACCCTTCATCTGCATTAAGCAGAGATGCACTTCTAAAGTTCCCAATCCGAACACTCTACTCTCCTCAGCTGTGCCTTGAGATCCTGTCTATGAATATCACAAACACGATGAAAGACAGTGGGCAACCTTGGTGGAGTCCAACACCCACTGAAAACATGTTTGACTTTGTGCTAGAATACAGACATAGCTGCTCCCAATCACCCCCCGCCAGGTTTCTCTATCATTACCCACATGAGAGTAGAGTACGTTTTCTCCCTTGGTGTGGTTCGTTTGGGCAGGGGTGAATGGAGCAATCGCACTCGGGTGCACCAAAAGTGGATCAAACAAGCCGCCTTGAAGAGGTGGTCTCGGTACGCTTTTAAACGAATTCTTGTGCGGTTCGCTTGTGGTTTGAAAGCAAACAAACCAACCACAGGATTATATGATAGCAGAGATGTGATCTGAGCATTATTTCCAAAGATAAACAACTAATAAATCAATCATCTGACCGCAAAATGTGTTCAATTATCTTTTGATTGATCTGCATAAGCCACTATGTTCTTGAAAATCGTTTGGTAAGGTATAGGCTACTTTTTAGCACAGGTATTTTCCCTGATCAATAGGTGAAAATCTGTTAAAAAAGGAGGGCAAGTGGTACTCCGTTTACCCTGTAAAACATTTGTGACAGCGATACCACAGTAGGCCTATACTATAGGCTAATAAGCCCCATATTATTACTGTACTACATTTTCTGTTTTTACGTTATTATTCATAAAGGCTATGTGGTCAATCTGCGGTCTAACATTACTAACCTTGCTTATTAAAAAAATGTACTTTAGCCCCTTTTCCACTGCATGGTACCAGCTCGCCTTGCCTTGCCTCGATTCTACTCGCATTTTTTTGGTTTTCCACTGTGGAAAAGTTGTACCTGTACCTGCTTTCAGGTACTTTTTTTCGTATCACCTCCGTCAAGGCTCTGTTTTTTGTTTGTTTTTAATCTTTATTTCATCTCTTAACAGACATGAGGCATTATAGAGAAATATTTAAATCTTTACATTTTTAACTGTTTTGACTTTTTATTCTTTAAACCAAATAAAGTATTAATGTAATGTTTAATTTCTATCTTAAAAAGAGGTAATTGTGGTTTCTTCTTCAACCATTTGCACTTAAATATCAATTAATATTATTAATAAAATGTTCCATACAAAATAAAGAGGTTCAAAATATATCTTCTTTTACAATCAATATCATTCTTGTCATAAAAAAATATATAATGTCTCTTTTCTTCCAAATAATAGTTGAACCAGTCAATGTCTTAAAGAGATATTCCAAGTCTAACCAAAATAATTTGGTACAAACACAATCATAAAATAAATGACAGATGGTTTCAGCTTCACCACTGCAAAACACACACTTTTCCACAACATCTTTCATGAACCTTGAGATCACCTGGTTCACAAGATAAATCAAATGTGTAATTTTAAATGAGACTTCTCAAATTTTCCTCCACTGAAGTTCTGAGCTGAGGCGATACTAAAATGTGACATGAAAACACAGAAGACTACTGATTGGTCAGAGAGAATCGTCACTATTCACTGCGTCATCATTGCGTGTGCCTGACAGAAAGTTTTATATTTCATACGTTATTAAATCACCAAATCCACTTCTGAGAAGTTTTGAGGTGAGAAATAAATTTTTTTCACTTGGTCCGGACCAAATGAACCGAGCTACAAGTGTGAAAGCACCCTGAGTTGCTGAATCTTCCCCCTGAGGTGACATTCTTCAGTCTCTGAGGAGAACCGAGGGCTTGTGAGTACACTACATCCACCCAGCACCTCTTATAAGGTGAGAAGAAGAGAGTCCAGTCCCTCTCTAGGAGTTAGTGTCCTGAAACAGTGCTATGCATAGAGGTGAGCTCCACCTCCTGCTCCAGCTGTGGCTCCTTCCCTGCCAAAGAGGTGAGATTCTGTGTCCCTAGCACCAGCCTTTAATACCGTGAGTCAGCATGCCTAGGTCCCGGCCCGGCCACCAGACGCCCGTCTGCGAGCTCCCCTCCCAGGTCTGACTCCAGGAGGCTGTCCCAGTATCCCTTTTCCGGAGAGGTACAGTTCCTTCTCAGCTGATTCATGTAGAATCGTTCTTAGTCTGGCTGCTCCCATGAGATCAGTTTGCCTTGGGAGACCCTACCAGGGGCTATTCTCCCTGACAACAAAGCTCCCAGGATCACAGGGACACACAAACCCCTCCACCACATTAAGATGCCAGTTCTTTGTGGGGCAGGCAGGAGCATTTTGATAAAATGAATTGTGTAAATGAAAGCCCTGAGTTGTCATGGCACACAAAGGAAACCACAACTAACTAGAATACAAATGAATTTATACTCCAAGTACAACAACGGTAAAAAAAAAAAAAAAAAAAGGTTATTGCCAACATCAGTGCAGAGACCTTCTAATAGCTTAAATTGCCCAGGGAGCCTGGAGAAAATGAGCTGACTGCACCACTAATGATGGGGCGAAAACAATCTAATGTTTTCTCTCTGCCTGATGGGCCGCTGACCAGTTGCTTTTAAGTAGGAGTTTTATTTCCCAATATAATGTTTCATCTCCTATTTGGTTCTAATCGGTCCCATTTCAAAACAAGGTTTATAAAGCCACAGAGAATTCAGTTATTATCAAGATTCAAGTTTAAATCTGATTGTTTTCACAACTTTACAAACTCTGAGATACATTTCACACTGTTGTCTCGCAATCCAACGGACATGTTTTTGAGCTTGCATCACACCGTGTTGTGTATCTAGCGCCCTGTGTGAGCAAAGCTTAATTCTCTTAATTTTCTTTAAGCAGTTTTGCAGACAGAAACTTAAGATGTGTAAAGATGATACATATCTACCCACATAGACACATACAGAACACCTCTACTAAATATTGACTTGTTTTGTGTCTTGTATTTGTACCAATTTTGTATATATGTTGTTCACTGTTATTCACTAGCGTGTGCTTTCTCTTTCAAGTAGAATTCCCTAACATAATTATAAAATGTGAGCAAAGAAGGCCCACATTCCAATTCTGTTAAGCCGTTGTAACTTTTTCCAATTCTTTGCTTTGCAGGTGTGATAGCGGTGGTGATCTTTGTGAGCGTGTCTGCATTAGCCATAATGGCCCGAGTCCTCTACAGCAGGAAAGGGATGTGTCGGAGCCGGGAAGTAAAAACAGTCCAACCTGAAGATAGCCCGGAGCTGGCGTTCAGCTCGCAAATGGTCCGAGTGAGAACCAGAAAGAATATTTTATTTAGGTGGTTCTACCTGCTGCTGACCCAGCAGTGTTGGAGCTGAGGAGACAGATAGAGACAGAGATGCCTTGTCAAGCCTCAGTGCTTTACACTACTAACTGAGCCCGAGCAGTGGCTCAACAAGACAGGAAGACACAAACAGTTATGTTCTGTCTTCCTTTGTTTTGTTTTTGCTTCTGTGGTTGTATTTTTGTAAAGACTGTATATAAATGCACAAGTGTTGAATTTATATATGCCAATGTGTCAATACTGTCAGTAGAACAAGTGTAAATATTTAATGATGTAAATCTTAAAACTATGACTTTATATCAATCAGTCCTTCCTGTCATATTGAAATGTTTGAAATGATTAAATGAGGAACTGTATTATTCATTGAATGGGGAAAAAGCTTTGTTGGGTCTGGGGTGATATAAATACATTTACCAACATGGATAATGAATGTTTGCTGTTTTGAGTGACTGAGCCTACTGAATTCAATTTGATGATTCACATTGTCTTCATGGTTTTAGTTTTTGTTGTTTTTGTTTTGGGGGTTTTGTACCTACTGTATGACATATGGAAAGGCAAAATGTATCCGTTCACATTGAACATTTCTCATTTTATCAAAAAGTCTTTTATTCACCATGATTCTCTTTCATTATGTTACAGCTTGAAGCAAAGCTTAGCCGGTATTTGTTTTTCTTTGTATCCCTTGCTTGATTTTTTTTTCTGTGCCATTCCTGACTCTCAACGTAGTTCTGAATAGTAAGGGTCCTGAGACCGACACAGTTACAGTGGACTACAAAATTTTCCAGTCTTTCTGTTCCCAACATAATTCTAATAAAAATCTTTTATTTATCTTTAAACACAAATGCCCTTGTCTGAAATGGAGATTGAGAGAAGGAAAACAAGTATGAAATAAAAACCATGGTGTATCAGCTGATAAAGAGCAAAGCATTTCATGGAAAGTGATCACACCTACTGAGGTTTTAATCAGATCTAACCAGTCAAGCAACCAAACAGACACAAAGAGTAAGAAGCAACTAGTTCCTGTTGTTTCTATGTTAGATTTTAAACAAAGTGCATTTTTCCTGTGACTTTCATTTTACACAGTTTCTTTATGTTTTTCTGCAGATGGGACCAGATTGTATTATAAGCCACTTCGCCATCACAAAATTCTGTGTCTCCAGATACTCTTAAATATCAAGTTAAAAGCCTTCATGAAAATTCCCCCAAACAGCCAAAACTGCGTGCGTTTGACTTCATGCGGCAATGCGCAATGCTGACTTAACGTGATGCATGCTGGACTTAAAATAAGGCATGCTGGTTAGAAATTGTGTCCGACTTTCACTGGCGCTGCAAAACATCACCATGTAACATGACATTTAAACCTCGCGGGAGCAAGGCAGCAGTTGCGTTTCTCCGGCTACACAAAGTTGGAGCCACACTATTGCCTGGTCTCACAGCATTTTTCTTTGCAAATGGTGTGAGACCAGTCATTGATCTCAGCTCACAGCAAGCTGATGCAGGTAGAATGTGTCCAACATGACGGATCCGTTTTTATACCCCGCCCCTGCAGTTACCTGCAGCTCGCGTTAGACCATATAGTTGGCAAAAGTCAGCCGCCGTCATCTCGAATGCACCTAATCTCATTGCATGCTTTGAAGGGAGACAAGGCATGCTGGGAAACAACTATTGAATACACAAACTGAAGACATTGGAGCTGTATACTTTAAACAATGTTACTGTAAACTGTTTACTGAATGTCACTTTAAATTGTTTTGCGGAATCATTCGTAGTTTTGGTGTCAGATGTTTGGTTTCTCTCCTGGCATTACATCACTTTTGAAGAACACAATGACCTTGACAGTATGGAAGGTAATTGTAAGTGACTTGCTGTAAGATTTTAATTTGTACAGATATTTTAGTAAGAAACACAGTTCTGTTCAGTGAAAATAAAACATTTAACCTTTTTCTGAAGTGGGTGTTTTCTTTCCTGTCAGCTGAATAACAATCCTGCACTTTTATTGCTCTTTTAACCTTTTTTGATTTCTATTGTAAAAGCAGAGTCTTTGTGAAATGATACAAAGGAGAGTTGAATCAATGAACACAAAAGTTTCAGGTCGATCAATGAACACCTTTTGAACACCTGCAAAAAGCAATATCATTTTACATTTCTAAACCTAATGTCTGAATCAATTATTTCTCTGTTAAATGAATCTGAAACACAGCAAATTGAATTACCATATATTTACATCTGTGCATGTTTGGCCCTTTAAAGGTTGCCACTGGATGAGTCTTTTCTTCACCATGTGACATTTCTGATGGATATTAATATGCATCTGTCTGCAGAGAGGAGATAACTCCAGCGCCTGATGCTTTGTGAATCATTCAGGTGCTGGATATGTCAGGCTAATTCTTGTCACAGGCCCACCTAGTCTCTCTCCACGCTGAAACGATAACACAGGACACAGCTTTGACATGTGATGGGGCCTCCCATTGCCTGCTATCCGCCCCTTTTACACACATACACACAAACACATGACTCTGATGATCCAGATGACTGGGTGTTTGTCGCAGGTATTGTTTACAGAGAGGGATGTATCCATTCATCCAATAATACCTCATTAGGGAGAACAACAAGAGGATGTGTTGTAATGACACATGCTGCAGCTCCAAGAGGGGAAATTCAGATCATAAGTGAAGATCCTCACGTCAGTTATTTGAAGTGATGAATATTATGTTCTTCCAACAAAATCTAAATCATATGACAATGTGCTGACATCAGTTTTGATTACTGAAATTTGATTACAATAGTAAAACCAATAGAACACAAAAGTGTTAATTAGTTATGAGAAATTGTTAACAGATACTTTAAGTGTTACACATGCTGTACAGATTTATTGAAAAAGTTATGTTTAGGTTTAAGTAGAATTCAAACAAATTCAACAACAAATTCAAGTTGGGTTGCAAACCATTTTTTTCTGCATATTTCCAGACTGAGTCAGGTTTCCGGCGAAAATAAACCAACAACAAAACTGGCTGGGCGTCTGGTGGCCATGACGTGATTAATTTTTGCTCCATTAAGAAGTACTTGTTGTGGTTTTGCGTTGTTTTGTCAGTGGAGAGAGGTAAAGCTTTTCTTTGTGTGTGTCAGGGACGTGCACAGACATTTTGAGGGGCTTTTAATCTAACCTGAGAAAAGGTTACCCCCTCCCCCCCCCTTAGGGGTACCTGAACGGTGTAAAATATGTTCATTTAACTAACCACAATTTTCTTGCTACTAGTTTAAACACCAATGTGACTGCCATCTATCAATTAGATTGATTATTGAAACCAAAAAAGGGAAAACCTCAGTATTCAAACTTTACACATAAACTCTGTGAACTCAGATGATTGCAAGATGATAATGTATACATCATGTAAAGTAAAATTTAAAAGTAGATTTGGCAAATTGAGCCATTGAGAACGTATTACACTTCACTGTATAATCCAAAACCAAGTTTTGATTGTATCATATCTCATATGTCCATGAATGAATGTCTGGATTTCAATAATAAACATTTCTGTCCATGAAATTACCAGAGACAATAATATAGATAGTTTGTCACAAGGACACTTTATACATATACATACAATTTAGAATTGTAAAGAATACTATTGTACACAGCATCTTTCTTTCTCTTTATCCCACTCTTACTGACATGGCCCTTATAACTCTCTCACACTCGGCCATTATCACCCTCGTATGTACCTGTCTGATGTCTCTCCTGATGCTCAGCATGCTCTCTCTCACTCTCTGGTCTAGAGTCTTGTGATTGCGCCTCATCTAAATTGAATTATTAGAATCAGAATTAAGAATACCATTGTCCACAGCTTAATTATTAAAAATTGCTTGGGCATGGTAGTTCAGCTATTTAAAATAAAAAGTACCTTATATACTTTACTGGTTCAAAAGTTCTCATCATTTCAATTCTGAACATCCGACTGAATCATGTAATTTTCTCAATAAAAATGTACTAAAACAACTGAACTTTAGAGTAGCTTGACTCAGTGCTTCCTGGTGAAGCCCAGGAATTAAACTGCAGTGAACAATGTCTAGTTTGAATGTAAATGTATATGATGCATCTGGGCATATTGTTGCTTGTATGTTGTTCCTCAAATGTAAGTTGCTTTAGATAAAAGCATCCAAATGTAAATGTAAAAAAATGTGTCAAAATATAGGACAATTACAAAATGTCATATAAGATTTCATGAACATATTTTCTGGCCTCAAGTATTTTCCAGGCTCTCCAGTGGTCTCTGAAGTGGAGCTTTTGGGGTAAGCCCCCTCCTCCTTTATAAGGTACAAGGTAGATTTATTTGTTACATTACAACAGGTTGGGAACTGAAATGTGACTTCCTTCTGCTACGTAGCAGACAATATACAGTAACGTAAAAAATTATATAAAATTATAATTTAAAATGGCAAATAGAAATAAATAATATTCAGTGGAGCAGTGCTGATTGCATTCCTTTGGTTATACCATTTGTCGTTAATTGATTCCACAACTTCAAAATACTCACTGGAGCTCTCACACAACAGCAACAATAGAAAGTTTGGATGCTACAGTGTCACATGACAGGGGCATAGGGTCATGCCATATTAATTCAGCAGTAAATGGGCTGTTGCTTGGGCAACTTTAGCCCGGCCTTGTGCACGTTCTTGGTGTGTGATGGTTGGTTAACTAAAGCTTAGTGGTCAAGCTCAGGCATGAAGGAATCAGGCTATAGTGGAAATTTCAGGACTGTTTAATACTGTAGGTTTGGGGCTCTAAAGGTCACAACAGAGAAGCGTCTGGGCTAACCAGAGGTACAGCTGAGGACTGTGGACTAGGGTGACCAGACGTCCCCGTTTTCTGGGGATAGTCCCCGGTTTTGGTGGCCTGTCCCCTTCTGGAGCTGTCCAAGGAAATTTCCCCGTTTTTAACTGTGTGTTATTCATAGACTGTAGAAG